AAAAAAAAAAAAGACACTAATATACTAAAACACTCAACCATTTTAAAAACACAAATGCACACACATTAACACACCAAAATACACACACAAAGTAATCAGCATATGCATACAAATACACACACACTCTAATACAACAAACAAATAAACACACTATTATAGAAACACAAGCAAACACATACACCAAAAAAAACACACTTTGTTCATACACACTGCTGTCATAAAAAACATTCATTCACTGATACACCAAAGAAACACAAACACACTAATACACAAAATACACATGCAAACTGATTATTGTAAAAAATTAAAATAGTATATTAAATTTTACGAAATGCATCACTAATCAAAATAACACTCGCATATTGCACATTTAGGTTCGCTGGGACGTGTCAGAGCATAGCACTTACGCTTTGTTGAGTGTGTGTTAACATTGCATGTGTTTTTTAGTATTAGTGCATCCATTTTTTTATGTATTAGTATGTGTACGTGTGTATGTATCATTTGATGTATTAGTGTATGTGTTAACAATGTGTGTACGCGTGCGTGGTTTAGTGCCTTAGTGTGTTTTGGTTTATTAGTATATTTGTGTTTTTGGTGTATTAGTGTGTGTTTATAACCTTTTTTCATGACTTGTAAATTTAAAGTTCATCTAGAATACAATAATTAAATCAAGTTTTTTAATAGCAATGAAATCTTTCAACCACCACCACAATTATTAAGAAAATACATCATTAATATCTAAAAATTAAAGTTCGAGCATCTACTCAAAGATATGAAGTCATGTGGACATGCAAGAAACAACTTGTATGCTCTTCAAAAGTAGGTATACAGTTGTGTCACTTGAACCTGGATTACCATTGACAAAAATCACCATCATTCATTTGTATCCAGAGGTGTAAGATCTTCAAGCTTCAAAATTAGTGCCTGCAAGAAATCTTAAAGAAAAGATTGAGATCGGAGGCAATAATTAAGTATTTTAAAAGAAGATTAGAACAGAAAACACTAACATAATCAATAGCACATATATTCACAGAAAATTCTACACCTGTCATAAGCTCGCCTGAAGGTAAATCTGCAACCACTTAAACTACTACTTTACAAGCCTCCCAAATTTCGATGGGTGCGTCTTTCCTTCACCATCTTAAGGTCCTACACTAAATAAGCAATATCACACATTCAGTCATAGAAATAACCTATAATACTCAAGCAAAAATCTACAATCGTTACAAACTTACCTAATGGTAAACTGCAAATGCTTTGATTGGTGGTGTAGGAGCCTCCCAAATTTGAATAGGTTAGTCTTTCCTCCATCGGTTTAAAGTACTACAATGCTTAATATGTAATATTACACATCAAGTCAAGGCCCAAAAATTTAAGAAATACAATACTATAAGTATGGCAACAGAGTAGTAATAGGTTAGTCTTTCCTATTACAACTACTAATATACAAAAACACATATATGCAATGGCATTATATAAAAACACATATATTAGTACACGTAAAAACACACAAACAAATAAATCAAAACATCAACAAATACACCAAAGCACAAACAAATATACCAAAACACACATTGCGTTAACACGCACACTAACACACCAAGAATATGCACACACAAAACAAATTATTACACAAACACACACATATTGATACACCCTCCACATACTCGATTAATACACACTACTACACCACAAAATAAACACCTTAATACACCTAAACACATACAAACACACACATTAATTCACCAAAATACACACACTCCACCACATGTATTATTAACACAACAAATTCACAAAAATGGAAACACTACTCCACAAAAAACAAAGACACTAATATACTAAAACACTCGACCATTTTAAAAACACAAATGAACACACATTACCACACCAAAACACACACAGTAATTAGCATATGCATTCAAACACACACTAATACAACAAACAAATAAACACACTATTATAAAAATGCAAGCGAACACACACAAAAAAAACACACTTTGTTCACACACACTAATACACCAAAGAAACACAGACACACTAATACACACACAAATTGATCATTGTACAAAATTAAATGAGTTTATTAAATTTTACGAGATGGATCGTTAATCAAATTGACACTCACATATTGCACATTTAGATTTGCTGGATGTGTCAAAAATGCGCAGAGCACTTCCACTTTGTTGAGTGTGTGTATCAACATTGTATGCGTTTTTTTGTATTAGTGTGTATTTTTTTATGTATTAATATGTGTGCGTGTGTGTATGTATCATTTAATGTATTAGTGTGTGTGCGTGTTAACAATGTGTGTAAGCATTGAACGATTGGTTTAGTGCCTTAGTGTGTTTGTGTATGTTGGTGTATTAGTATATTTGTGTTTTTTGTATATTAGTGTGTATATCCTTTTTTTATAACTTGTAAATTTAAAAGTTCTTCTAGAATACAACAATTAAATCAAGTTTTCTAACGACAGTGAAATATTTCAACCACTGCCACAATTACGAAGAAAATATATTATTAATATTTAAAAATGAAAGGTAGAACATCTACTCAAAGATATCCAAAAGAAATAGTCATGTGGATATACAAGAAATCAACCTATATGCTCTTCAAAAGTAGGTGTACAGTTGTGTCACTTAAACCTGAATTACCATTGACAAAAATCACCATCATTCATCCGTATCCGGATCAACATGGTGTAGGATCTTCAACCTTCGACATTAGTTGTATATGCATGACTCTTACATCAAAAAAAAAACACATAATACATTAAAAAAAAGTAGACACCACACCAAAACACACTATTACACAGACACAACACGTATTTTTGTACACGGATGTGGGTGTATATGCATGACTCTTGGTGATAAACTGACTTGTTGAGGAACTCCATAGAATTGGGAATTAGAATACTAAGAGGTCAAGGTATATATTCTGTGAAAAAGAAAACAATGTTGCGTGAGAAACCATCTGATCAGACTAAACACAGCTTACATAGCCTTGATTGCAAAGACTTGGGTAATCATAACATCTCAATCCATGTTTGATTCTAATCTTCATATAAGATCATGTCTGAAGTAAGACTATTCCTAATGTGACCTTTGCGTGCTGCATACCTATTTCTATCAGAATACCATAACATGATATAACCTTGTTGAAAACCATATGGGCCAAAACATTGGTGAAAAATTGGTGTGCTTCAGCAAGCAAAATTGGTGCAGTGTTTCAGCCAAAAGCAAGGTGAGAATTCCATTTGCCATTATGATTTAGGACACCTAAGTGAAGGCAATAAATAGCTAAAAATTTGGTATTGCCTCAAGTCCCAACACTGTAACTCAGATTAACGCGTCCAAGTCTTAAATTTTGTCAAAATGTCTGACTTGATGAGATGGCTAGAAACCTCATTTCCGGGTATTAAAAAATTTTAAAAGTGTCCACTCCGTAGCATACACATGACTGCATCTCACCGCAAATATAAAGTTTGTACTAGAGATGAAAGTAGCTTAATTCATACCTTCTGCATTTCTGGCTCAATTGAATGTGGCAACCATCTAAGTGCAGCAAGGTACCATCTCCAAGCTTTCAATGTTTCTACATCCACAACTTCAGAGGAACCAACCGAAGATGGATGGCTGGAAAGGCAGAACTAGATCAGCAAGCAGAATATTTGATTTCCCCTCAGAGAAAATCAGCAATTGAATATATGCCGCCATATCCATTTTATAGTACGTGAAATCATACTCCTCCTAATTAAATACATGCAAGGTGTTCGATAAAATGCATGTAAGTGTCCGATCTCCCTTTTCTATGTTTTTTCTGTTATGGATTCGATTTTGAGACCTTATACATTTAGATCCATTTGTTGTTTGTTTATATTTTGACCCTTTATTTGTTGAGATTTCTAAGGATTCTTTGTGTTGTGTGAGATTTTTTATTCTTCTTTTTGGTCAGATTGTTGCCAACCAAGTCGTCTGTTTGCTACAAGTTATAACAGATTATACGCATATATAAAAGCACCAATTGTTAATTCGATATATACAATGGTTTAATTTGTCTGGTTGTTGAACATGCAATAATTGTGTTAGCCTAATGCATGTATGCTTTTTTCCTCTCCATTTGTAGATGTGAAAGGTGGAGCAGAGGATGTGATGTAGCTAGTTTAGCTGTCTAATTTCCATTTTAGTGTATGTCATCTTGCAAAAGCTCTTGACTTTTTGCCTCTCCATTTTTGTGACATTTGCTCTTCCTCCAAATTTCCCATCTTCTTCAAAATGTAGTTGTTTTGATTTCACCAACCATTCAATGCACATTACACCATTTTGAGAGAAGTTTTCAGAAAAACGAAAGTTTTTAGAGAACATCGTAAAAGTTTGATAAGTAACAATTCAATGGTCTCAAGAGTCCTAAATACTATTCCCTAACTACAGAAGAAGCAAATGGGAAAATGCAGCTTCTTTTAAGATTAGAACATTCAACTTTGAGTCACAAAACAGGCTTTCAAAATTATAGGATTGACTACAAGTACAACAATAACTATGGCATGAGGGCACTCTACAACAATTATATTTGTTAATGTACAATGCCCCCTTACTCTTTGAAATTCACAATCAAGGAAATTTTGTGGTTCATTGCAACTAAAATTCAATTTAGCAACCTAAACCAGATAATTAACAGGCTGCACTTCTCATCCCAAAAAACCTATCAGACTAAATATAAACATCTCTTCCCATGACAAGATACTATTTATGATTACAATATGACCGCCACTTACAAATGTTAACGAACTTAGCTTACCTTTTGGTTTGAACAAGACTCCTTGAATATAAGAACTCCACTCAGCCTCCCCCCGCCCCAAAAACTCTGGAGTGCACAAACAGTGGAGAGGGGTGCAAGAATAGAAATGAAAGAAAGAGAAAACACAGACAATTAAATTATCTCTGCTTACTATCTTTTTCGTAAATTGGGAACCCTCAAACTCGTGATCTATGACCTTCCATTAAATCACAATATGTCAGATATGTAGGCTGAGAGCTTGCAACTCCAACTAAAGATAGCAAAAGCCCACACGAGTGCATGTGTATATAAGCAATTAAGGTACTATCTAAGCCTAAAAGATCTTGCACAAAGTAGTATAGCCCTGGCCTCTGCATGGATGCAAAGTTCACATAACCAGTAGTCTTAGGGCTTCTCAACCCATAGGATTCTTGAGCAGTTGAGTTAAATGAAAAATGAATGCATGAATATAATGAAGTGAAGAAGAGATTGAAAGTACCTGCATATCTATGTCACAAGTAGTTGTGAAGCCCTCTCGGGCTTTTCTCCCCATATGGAGATGCAATATTGGAATATGGATTTCTCGTATAGCTTCAAAAGAAGTTTGAATCCGTGAATTCTGCCCCTGAACCTAGAAACAGAGAGAGCCAATTAACAAAATGATACAATGCTATTGTCAGCATCAAACTCTGCAGAAGCTTTACTCATTAGTGACAATTAACTGACAACATCAACTACTTGGAAAGACACATTGTAGTTCTTAAAACATGTCCATAGCCAACTATCAGCAATGCTAACAAGTTGCAAACATCAATGCTCAAGTCAACGGAAACAACCTTTTTGTAAGCCTACGATGAACAAGAGGTAACAGGGGAAAAAATAGAGGAGCAAGGAAAGTTCTAGTTTTAAAGGAACACAATAAAGCAAAGGCCGCTCCCAAATCCGCAAATCGGATGAAGAACCCATGGAAATTGAGGAACATCTGCAAACTTGTTGATTCTCCATGTTGCTCCATCCTTTACAAGAAAAGGCAAAAGGGCACACAATTTCAATGGCTCAAAACTCAATTGCAGAAAGACTGCGATAATTTATCGAGAGATATAAGACAAAGAATACCTTATAAGCACCAACGTAGAATTCATTACCCAGCATATCTTGTATCATTCCACAGAATTGAACCAGAGTGTTCGATTGAACCTATTTGTTAATCTTTTTTTTTAAGAGTGACTAGAACATCTCTTCTGGAAGAAAAAAAAGAGAGGAAAAGGCACAAATCTCAATTCAAGAAACAAACAAATCAGCAAAAAAGAAATTCAAGAAACACAAAAATCAGCAAAAAGAAATTCAAGAAACAAGATTATAAGCAACAAGAAATTGAAGAAACAAAATAATCAGTGAAAAGAAATTCAAAAAACACAACAATCAGCAAAAAGAAATTCAAAAAAAAAAAATTTATCACCAAAAACAAATGAATAAGAAACCAGCATTTTACATATGAATAAGAGGTAAACAACTAATTCTGTTTTCAAAAAAATAGAAATATTTAAGCACTAAAAGCAATTGAACATAAGAAAACCCTACGAATTTAATTTAATAGGAAAAGATCAATTAATAACCCTAAAAAAAAGGAACAACAGCTAACAAAATATTTCAGAAATCTTTAATCCACTTACCTTTCAAACAAGTTAGGACAATTAGAGAAAGCAACAGATAAAGAAAGCCGAGCGAACAGAACATCTCCGGCAATGGCGGCAGAACATCTTTCGAGGAGGAAAACCCTAGATAGTTGGGCAAGGTGGTCCGCTTCAACGACCAGAAGGGCTATGGGTTCATCAGACCCTACGAAGAAGGCTTAGATTTCTTCGTTCCCCAATCGGAGATCAAAACCGATGGCCTTCGAACTCTCTATGAAGGCGAAGATGTAGGATTTCGGTTTATTATGAGCGTGAAAAAACCAAGGCCATCGATGTCACCTGCCCAACGGAGCCTCATCGACAAGCCCAGGGGTGGTGGTCAGAGAGGTGACCGCGGTGGTTATGGGCTTGGTAGTGATGGCGGCGGCGGCGGCGGGTTTATGAATGGTAATTGGTACCGCGGCGATCTCGGTGGTTGCAGCGTGAGTGAGCTCCTCTGAGAGAGAGAGAGAGAGAGATGTTTCAAAAAGAGAGAGAGGCGGATGTTTCAGAAAGAGCAAAGAGAGGCGGATGTTTTTATAGGGTTGATGAACACATGCTCGGGCTTTTAACTAAAACGCCAAGTAGACTTGGGAAATTTATCAAATTATAAAATTAACACTCCATTTCACCAATTTAAGATTCTATTCAAATGAAAAAAAATATTGTTCTTCAATTTTACTAAATTAACATTTTGTTTTCCTCAAATAGAAGTTCAATCTCGTCAAATTAATATTTTATTAAATTAAATTAATTTTTAATTAATATTTAATGTATATCTTTGATTATCTTTTGGTTTTCAATCTTTGATTTACTCTTACCAATGGATCTTATTATTTCATTTATATCTTTTTTATACTCTGTTTGGTAGGACGGATGAAAAGTATGAGGGATACACTTTGTATCTTTCAAGGATGAAAAGTATGAATGCTACACTTTCCTTTTTTTGTGTTTGGTTGAATAAATGGAAAATAAAAATAACCAATTTTTTTTGTCTAATATTAGGGGTGACAATCGAGTCGTGTAATATCAAATTCGTGTTAAGTCATAAACTTATGAGCCTTTTATATTTTTTGTTCGCATGTCAGGTCATTTTTAAGTTTGTGTCAAGTTATAATTAAGTATGTGTGATAAAATTCATATCGAGTTCGAGTCGTGTCATCGTGTTGAGTCAAAAATTTTCACCCCTAGTTAAAATGAAAAAAATATTTTATCATTGTATTTTTATATGAAATTAATGTATACATAATATATAAACAAATAAGATATATTTCAATCCAATTAATTAAGTTTCCATCAACTTTCCTTTCGATTTTGGAAGGATTGATTTTTGTGAGTTTGAAAGAAAATTAATCCATTTACTTTTCCATCTTTCTTATTTTCCTTCCTTACCAAATATGATTGTTTATTTATCCTTTCAACTTTTCATTCTTCTTCTAATTTTCTATTCTTCCATTTTTCATCATACCAAACAGAGCATTACTGTTGTATCTGGTTGGCCTCTTTTGGGTTCTATTACTTACCCAATGAGCACTTGGTATTTCATGGCCTTCTGTGCTCCTTTTCATGCATTTGCTATTTTCGACGTAAAATATTTGATGTTATTAAACCTCATAACTTGAGTGATGTTTGAAGATTCGAATTCTTATGAATTTAGTTGTTTAGAATCTTGGAATAAATTACGGTTATTTAATTATTGAAAAATTCTGATTTATTTATCTTAGAATTGGTTTACTTCGAATTTCTGTTGTGGTGACCAGGGACAATCTTGCTTGCATTTTGATATTGTTTTCTGCAATTAAAGAAATGATGGGTTTATGTTGTAACTAATTAGCCTGATCGGTACATCTTTCTGTCTTTGATCTTCTGATTTATTTTCCTTCTCTTTGTATGTTTGTGGTACGGTTTCATTTGCTGTTTTTCGTGTTTTGGTACTTGATAGATTCCAGTGTTCCTATGTATTTTTGCATCAATGTTCGATCCTTTTCCCTTGTTTTTTTTTTTTCGGTTTTCTTTTTGGAAGTAATGGCTAATCTGTTTTTGTCTGAGAAAATATTCATATAATCTGTATATATGCATAATGAGGATGGACTTCTCTCTAGGAATTTCAGTTATGTCTTCTTCTTTAGCTATTCTTTGACCTTTTCTGTAAATACCAAAATATCCCAAAGCCCCAACAAATAATGTTTACCTTCGCACTAATTAAAAAACATAATGAATCATAAGAGGATCATCCATCCTTACCTCTTTTTGTATTCAAATTTAAATTTAGATAAAAATAGTCTAAAATACTTCTCCAATATTAAACTCATACCCATATTAAATGAAAAAAAATCTTTTTTTAAATCCAAATTAAGGGAGACTCTTTTTTAAACCCAAATATTTAATAATGAAATTTCATAATCTTTTAAAGATCCAATAATCATATTTTATCCACTTTTATATTTGATTTGTTATCATTTAATAGGTTTCTCTGTTTTTAAATTTAAGTTTCTCTATTAAAAAAGCTTATAACAAATCAAGTTTTTTATTTTTTATTTTTACTCATATTATTGAGTAAAAATTTGAATTTCCATCGAAAATCGTCCATGAACATACTTTGCTCAAATCCTTGTCCATGTCTGAGGCCATCATGCGGGTCCTATGGATTTGCTCACCCTGCTGATGTAAAGTCTCGAGGGTTCTTGTAGCGTTCTGTCTTACATCCTCTCCAATCTTCAAACAATTGTTCACAGATTTTGTAGTCTCCTCAGACTTGTTCACAGNGCCCTAAATTTAATTTAATGTATAAACATAAAACAAATGAGAGGGCTAACCTATTTCATAGCATATTAGTTAATCTTTAAATGTCCAAATTTTTGATATCATCTTTTATTGATATTTACAAGTGAGACTCATATTTTTGTCAAAATAACATAACTACCCTTAAATCTTTTAAAAAAAATTCAGTGAGGGCAAATCTCTAATAAATTCTAAATTTTTTAAAATTATACTTAGTCCCAAAAAAATTTTAAGATTCTAGTGGGGGCAGCTGCCCCCACTGTGGATCCGCCACTGCCTTTAAACATGATTTTTATTCTTAACTCTAAGCAAACTTCTCAATTTATAAAAGACATCCTCTTTGAGGGGCTTAGTGAAAATATCGGCACTTTGATCTTGAGACTTCACAAAATTGAGCTCCACCTCTTTCTTGGTCACATACTCTCTAATGAAATGGAACCTTGTGTCAATATGTTTACTACAATCATAAAACACCGGATTATTTGACAACGCTAGTGCTGACTTGTTGTCAATGAAGATCTTCGTCAATTCTTCTTGAGGCAAATGAAGTTCCTTCAACAAATTTCTAAGCCAAATGGCTTAACAAACACATGATGTAGCCGCCACATACTCGGTTTCACAAGTCGAAAGAGTCACAATGGATTGCTTCTTTGAACCCCAAGCAAATGCGGTATCTCCCATGAAGAAAACATACTCGGCAGTACTTTTTCTATCATTCATATCTCCGGCCCAATCACTATCGCAATAATCTGCAAGCTTGGAATTGCTAGAACAAGAATATATCAATTCATAATCAAGTGTACCTTTGATGTATCTAATAATTCTTTTCGCCACCTTTGAATGAGTTATGGTAGGAGCTTCCATATAGTGACTTACAAGACCAACACCAACAAGAATATTCGGCCTTGTGCATGTTAAGTACCTCAAGCTTCCCATTAGTCTCTTGAAATGGGTGGAATCCACATGTTCTCCATCTTCATATTTTGACAATTTTACACCACATTTAACGGGTGTGCATACTGACTTACAATCTTGCATCTTGAACTTTGCCAAAATTACTTTAGCATAACCTTCTTGAGAGATGAAAATATCTTCCTTCATTTGCTTCACTTCAATTCCAATGTAGTATGACATAAGCCCAATGTCGGTCATCTCAAATTCTTTAGTCATTGCTCTCTTGAAATCTTTAAACATTCTTGAACAATTTTCTGTGCAGATCAAGTCATCCACATACAAACAAGCATAGAGTATATCACCATTATCATTCACCTTTGCATAAAGAGCATGTTCATGGGGACACTTGGTAAAATTATTTACTTGAAAGTACATGTCAAATCTATTACTCTAAGCCCTTGGTGCTTGCTTCAAACCATACAATGTCTTTTTTAATTTCTAGACTTTCTCTAATTGCACTTCACGACATAACCCAAACCTCTTCATCAAGAAAGCCATTTAAAAAAGCAGACTTTACATTCATTTGATGAATTTTTCAATCATTTAGAACGGCTAAAGAAATATTCAATCTAATTATATACAAACGAACAACGGGTGCAAATACCTCATCATAGTCAACACCTGATTTTTGACCGTAGCCTTTTGCAACAAACCTTGCTTTGTACCTTTCCATTTCACCTTTGACATTTTTCTTTATCTTGTACGCCTACTTCACTCTAATGCCTTTTTCTCCTCTAGGAAGTG